GGGGGAGGGTTATCCTCCGCCTGTTGGCTGCCAGCGCTTGGGCGGCTGGTCTAGTCACGGAAAACCTGTGATGTGAGGGACTGCCTCTCCGGGGGGATAAAACCGTGGCTCCTGCAAAAATCTGGACCTGGACTTTCTCAGCCGTGGGCTTCACTTGCTGCATTCTGGATGCAGAAAATAGTCGTTTGCTACCCCTGTAGAGAGGGGTATGGTGTGGGAGGATAGCCTCTAGACTTCTCCACCCACTTCTTTTTCCTGTGATTGCTTTTGAGGGTTCACCCTTTTCTCTCCACTCTGTGCATCTGAGGAAGTGAGTTTTGCCCAGGAAAGTGCATGATACTCTGTATGTATATATACATTTTGTCAGACTCTTACGGTGCTACAGAACCTACCCCTGTAGAGAGGGGTATGGTGTGGGAGGATAGCCTCTAGACTTCTCCACCCACTTCTTTTTCCTGTGATTGCTTTTGAGGGTTCACCCTTTTCTCTCCACTCTGTGCATCTGAGGAAGTGAGTTTTGCCCAGGAAAGTGCATGATACTCTGTATGTATATATACATTTTGTCAGACTCTTACGGTGCTACAGAACTACTCCTTTTTAAAAAATTACAGACTGAAAAGGTCTATAAAATATAAAGGGCTAGAAAACATGAGCTATGAGGGAAGATTGAAACAATGGGGCTTGTTTAGTTTAGAAAAGATAAGAGTTTTCAAGTACCTAAAAAGGTGTTTCAAGGAGGAGGGAGAAAAAATGTTCTTTTTGACCTCTGATGATGGGACAAGAAGCAATGGGCTTAAATTGCAGCAAGGAATGTTTAGGTTGGACATTAGGGAAAACTTCCTGTCATAGTGGTTAAACACTGGACTAAATTGCCTAGGGAGGTTGTGAAATCTCCATCACTGGAGATATTTAAGACCAGATTACAGTACATAGGTATCTGTCAGAGATGATGTGGATGGTGTTCGGTCCTGCCATGAAAGCAGGGGACTGGACTTGATTAGCTCTCTAGGTCCCTTCTAGTTCTATGATTCTAAGACTAACACAGCTACCTCTTTGAGAATCTAGACTATGATTACTTGCATCTACTGGCAGCTAAATAAAAAAAAGCTTACTCTGAAATACAGGGGAGAAACTAGACTTACCTCATTAGGATAAAAATTTTAACACAAATAGAGAATTGAAGTCATAGTCCCCTTTATGTACATCCAGTACTTTTGTATTAATATATATTATGCAAATGCCAAAGGAAAACATTTAAATCATGTTCTTTGCTATTCCTTAGTTTATGATGAGTAAAGAGTGATGTATAAAGTTTTCCATCAATCACAAAAGATTTTTGTTTTGTTTTTGTGTTTTCATAGAAGTCTCGGAATATCAAGTCTTGGCTTCCCAAGATTTTGCTGAAAGGCATAAAAAGGAATGGAATACCAACAATACAATAGATTCATTTCACCTAGGCTCTTCAAGGATGAAGGCTTCATCTTCATACATCCGATTGCAGGATTGGGGCCTAACACACAATGGCACTAAACATCTTTTCCTAGAACTTAGAGCTAGGAAGACTGCAACTCAAGTTTCAGTCTATTGTGATGCCAATATTCCACTACTCCTGTAGTCCTCCTACCAAAAAGTCAAGACCAAATATTTCTAATGTTAGTTTTTAAAAAAAGACAGAAAAATTCCTTGAGACTGTCTTAGATATCATAATAAAGCAATAATGGATACAAACGTAATGCAGTTTGTTTGGTTGATTTTGCTTTACAGCTCACCAGGGATAAAATCTGTTCTAAGGTACCCATGTGGAAATCCCACTGAAGTGAATGAAATTTTAAACATACAAATCCAAAGACAGAATTTGACCTTGTGTAGTGTACATTATTCTGTGCAATGAGCACATTATGTTTGCATTAGTAAGCATGACTTTAAAGGTCTGCTGGCGGTGTATATATAAAGCTCAAATATAAAATTGCATTCATTTTTGTTTTGTTTTATGTAAATGAAATATCCTATTTTAATGAAAAAAGATTCATTGCATATTGAAATTAAGGATGTTAAGGACTAGTCGACATCCGATAAGCAAATGTTTATCAGATAGTTGACTAGTCAGCCTCCCCGCCTTCTCTATCAGATAGAAGCAGCAAAGGAAGGGGGAAAGGGAGTACTTCAAAGGAGCAGTGCCACACAACTGATCCCCGGATCACCTGAGCGACGCTGCCCCTTTGAAACACCGTACGGAGCCCAGGGTCAGCTGGGAAAATGCTGTGAGGAACCTGCGGTCAGCTGGAGAATTCCCAGCTGACCCTGGGCTCAATGCTGCACTTCCACTTTGAAATGCACAAGAGCCCCCACTGGGCTCTCTTGTACATTTCAAAGCAGCCCAGAGGCAGATGGACTTCCTGCTGGCCCAAGCTGCAGGGGCTTTTGTACATTTCAAAGGAGGAATGCGGAAGTGCATATCAACTAGTCAAGTAGTCGATGGAAATTCCATTGACTACTCAACAAGTAAATAGTTAACATCCCTAATTGAAATACATGCATTTCTGGAATTTTTACATCGAAATAAATGTACAAAGTGAGAATTAAATAATTGTACATTGAAAGAAACTACATTTTTATTTTTATCAACAATGTGAGTTTCCAACATGTTTACACATTTATACATATTCAAACATTGAAATAAACACTTTATATATGGAGCTTCTCATCTGTGTGCATTGTTAAAATGTAGAGGCACCCTACTTCAGTTAAGGAGATACGCAGTTTTCAAATATAGTATAACTTTGTTCTTTTTAAGCTACATTTCTCCAAATGTGTCAGCCAACTAGCTAACTTGAAAGGCTTTTGAAGCTTTAAATTAAGCTGACTTTGAGTTCTTTATAGGTGGCCCCTTGTTCACTGCTTCTGTGTAAAATTAATGATCTGATTAAAGCTAGGTTAAATGTGCATCAGATGATTTTAATGGTCTATTTAATGTAGATACAATTTTAAAAGTAGGCTTTTTATTTTCCTAGGTCCATTGAGCTGGCACTGAAAGTTGGATCTGGTGAATTCTGTAATTTGTTTCCCATAAATCCTCAGATTCAAACTAAGCCCAGCTTTTTCTTCTAGTCTAAAAGGATACTAAACTCCAAGGCTACGTCTACACTGGCACCCTTTTCCGGAAGTGCTTAAAACAGAACAGTTTTTCCATTAAAAGTATTTCCGGAAAAGCGCATCTACTTCGGCAGAATGCTTTTCTGGAAAAGCACTTTTTCCGGAAAAGTGTCCGTGCCAATGTAGACGCACTTTTCCGCAAAAAAGCCCAGATCAAAAAAGCCCCGATCGCGAAAATGACGATTGGGGCTTTTTTGCGGAAAAAAAATCTGTACTGTCTACACTGGTCCTTTTCCAGAACAGTTTTCCGGAAAAGGACTTTTTCCCGAACGGGAGCAGCATAGTTTTTCCGGAAAAGAACTGATGATTTTACAATATATCGTCAGTGCTTTTCTGGAAATTCAAGGGGCCAGTGTAGACAGCTGGCAAGTTATTCCGGAAAAGCGACATTTTCCGGAATAAGTGGCCAGTGTAGACACAGCCCAAGAGGCTCTGGGAGACAGACCCATAGTCTCCTATAGACATCCACCTAACCTTAAGATGATTCTTACCAACAACCACAGGACATTCCACACTAATACCAACCCTGGTACCTTCCCTTGCAACAAACCCCGTTGCGAGCTTTGTCCACATATTGACTCTGCTGATACCATTATTAGACCTAGCCAATTGAGTTATAAGATCAAGAACACATATTCCTACTCATTCAGAAATATAATTTATGCTATCATGTGCCAAAAGTGTCCGTCTGCTATGTACATTGGACAAACGTCTCAGACACTTCGCCAAAGAATCAATGCCCACAAAACAGATATTAGACAGGATCACAAAGAAAAAACAGTTTCTTGCCATTTCAACCAGAAAGGACATTGTCTCAACGACTTGATTACCTGCATCCTGCTTCAAAGACCTTTTCAGACCACACTTGAAAGAGAATCCTCTGAACTGTCATTCATGCTTAAATTTGACACTTTATGTCTAAGTTTAAACAAAGACTCTAATTATCTTACCTATTACAAAGATAGCTTCCCCAGTTATCACCTCTAATATCATTAGCTCACAGACATTTACCTTCCCCCGTGTTCATTTTTTTTAATTGTATCCTTTGGTATATATGGTTGTGACAATTTTCTTCCACTATTTGATCTGAGGAAGTGGGTCTGGCCCACGAAAGCTCATCACCTAATAAACCATCTTGTTAGTCTTTAAAGTGCTACATAGTCCTGTTTTTTGTTTCAGCTATACCAGACTAATAGGACTACATCTCTATCACTATTCTAAAGTCTATGTTATTGACTTAACATGCTGGGGTTGGGGGAAGCTTTGTTTGTTTGGGTTGTTAAAGGGTAACAAGCCATTATACCAGGTAAAATTCAAAAACAAATCTGGATACCAGCAGTTGTGTGTTACATATAAATGTGCTTCTCGGGATTGCTCCTGAAAGGTGCTGAGCACTCTTGCCCCAGTCCAGCAAACAGCCAAAACACTTACATAACCATTGTCTTCAGTTGGAGTGCTCACCTGCATGAATCATCTGCAGGGCCTAATTAGGTAAAGTTAGTCAAATGAGAGGACTTACTCCAATTTATCAGCCATCATGGGCTTTTTTCCAGACCTTATCTACAATTTTATGGAGAATATTTGATTGCCTAGGGGTATTACACTGATTCTTTCCAGGCAAATAATTAAGTCCTATCTACTTCATCACTGGCCCCCTTTTTCCATACATCATTTCATTCATCCAGTGTTACCACAGGACATGGAGATATTCAGAGAATCTGTTTTTGTCATCTGAAATCCAGTGAGCAAGAGAAATTACTGGCAGTAATGAATTTGACATAACTAACCTGGCTTGAGACTAAGGATGTTAAAATGCAGTTAATTGACGAGTTAACTAGTCGATAGAATTTCCATCGACTAGTCAGCTAGACGATAGGCCCTTCCGTATTCCTCCTTTGAGGCTGGGGCTCTTGTACATTTCAAAGGAGGAATGTGGAACTCCACGTACAGCCCAGGGCCAGTGGGAAGTCAGGTGCCTGCTTTGAAATGCATAAGAGTCCCCAGTGGGGGCTCTTGTGCATTTGAAAGCCATGGAGCCCAGGGTCAGCGAGGAACTCACAGTCCCCCGCTGATCCCTGGGCTCCATGCTACATTGCATGCTGCTAGGAGACCGGGGTCAGCTGGGTTCTGTGTGGCACTTCCCTGGAACCCAGGGTCAGCTGGGGACTCCCCAGCTGATCCCAGGTGACTTTCCTGGAAACCAGGGCCAGCTGGTGGGTCCCCAGCGGACCCCGGGCTCCATGGCTGTCCCTTTGAATCGCCTCAAAGGCAGCATTTTAAAGGGGCAGCCCTAGAGCCCGTGGTCAGCTGAGTTCTATTCAGCTGACCCCAGGCTCCCTGCAGCATTTCCACGGAACCCGGGATAAGCTGGGGAGTCCCCAGCTGACCCTGGGTTCCACTGCCGCCCAGCTGATCCCAGGCTCCACAGCTGCCCCTGTGAATGGCACATAGGCAGCATTTTAAAGGCACAGCTGCCACACAGCTGATCCGCTGATCAGCCGTGCAGCGACTACCCCTTTGAAAAGCTGCCTGGGGGTTTCAAAGTGGCAGCACTGCTGTGCTACTTTGAAGTACCCTCCCACCTCCTTTGCTTCCTCTATTTTATAGAGGAAGCAAAGGGGGGGATATCGACTAGTCAGCTAATCAAAATACTATCCAATGTCAACTAGTCTTTTACATCCTTATTTAAGACTGTTGTTAAACATCAGAAACCCCCATAATAATATATAGAAAAAACAAATATCAACCTATTAATATCTGCATAATAATACTACTTTACAAAAGCTTTTATGTAAAGAAAAAATCTTTAAAATTATTCTGATTATGATAATGGATAACAATACCACTTAGGGCTCATAATCTCCTTTTGTATTCTCAGATGGTGTTTTTTGTAATTATTATCTAGAGATCATTGAAGTGCACACTTTAAAAAGTTCTTTATGAAAATTTGTGGAAAGTTACTTTTGGTAATAGCTAATGATAAAAACCAGTTAAACTTGTTTTCTTTTGAATGTGTTCAGATTTTATTAATGCTTTCTTTTACAAAGCAGTAAGCAGAACATAATACATTTTATTGTAAGATAAATTTTGCATAATCCTTGTGCAAAAAGGGTTTTTTGCGCATAAAGGAAACGTCCATGCTGCTTGTTTTTGTGCAAAAACCCCTAGTGTAAAAACGGATTGGAAGAGAGTATGCAAATGAAGCACGAGAAAGTGCTAATCCGCGCTTCATTTGCATTGCCTCTTCCGGCAACACTCGTAGTATAGACGTAGCCTTAAGCTATGTCTACACTGCACTGTAGTTCAAAATAAGATATGCAATTTGATCTAACAAATTATGTATCTTATTTCGATCTTATTTCAAAAGACCTTATTTCATAATTTGGTGCTGTCTACAAAATACCAAATTTCAAAATAACCCACTATTTCAAAACATCCCTTACGCCTTGTGGTTTAAATAAATGAGGTTTAAATAACAGGCTTGCTGTGAAGATGCGGGATAGTTATTTCAGGATACCCCAGTATTCCAAAATAGCGTTGCAGTGTAGACGTAGCCTAAGAGAAACAAGTGTGTTTACTT